TGGATCCTCGGTAAGAATGGAAGGTACCGTAGGATCTTCACGGGGATCTCAAGCTACCTCTTCTGACCATCACCAGACTCTACCTCCAGGTACCTATAGGATTGACACTTTGGACAAGATTACTTTGCTTTCTCGTGTTCTTTCCTAAATAGGACGTACCCCTGGACGGACAAGCATGTATCTCGCTCATATGGCATCTTGAGTGCACGAAGGAGTTTCTGCGACTCGTACATGCTCTTTGGCATAATGTGAGCTTCTGGAAGCAAGCTGCCAATAACTGCCAACGTAGCATCGTAACAATCTCGACTCATGCTAAACTGAGCCTTTAAGGCCATTACCCGTCCAATGGCATCCAGTTGAGAAACCTTTGTGTGGCCGTGAAGGGGTTTCTGTGCCGAAGACAACATGTCATAATACGCCTTTGCGGTTGCCTCTGGCTCCTCCTCCCCACCTTCTTCACCTACGTGTGGTTTGTGAAAGTCATTTAGCCAGTCACCTACCCTGGCATCAGCATCGAAATCTTCGACACGTGCTCTCACGACCTCCTCTCTCATCCGATCGGCTTCACCGTGGTAGATCCACCGAGTATAATCTGTCGTGAATCCATTCTTGCAAAGATGAGTAGACATGACATCCTTTGGTTGCCGACGCCTGTTTGCACATCTACTGCACGGACACCAAATGGCTGACGCTCCTGGAACTAGGGCAAATGCTCTATCTATGAAAGCCTCCGTCTTCTCAATCCATTCATCAGTCAAAGCACGCTGACTTGGGCGGCCCGTGTACATCCACTCACAGTCATCCATCCTCTGACATATATATATATATATATATATATATATATATATATATATATATATATATATATATATATATATATATATATATATATATATACCAACGAGACATTAAGAATCAATTGCATATACACGATGTTCCTACCATCTAATAGGTCAGGATAGGTCCTAATCCCACCCCGTAGCTGGGGTTAGTCTCCATGGTCTACTCCGATCCGAGACATAATTTCGGCAGCACCTCCCCGTTGTTCTCCAAATACACGTCCCGGTAGGGAGATTGTGTATCCGGAGAACAACAGGAAGATGCTGCCGAAACTCTGCCTCGGAACGGAGTAGACCACGGAGACTAACCCCATCTACGCATCCTAGGGCTGTCCAAAAAATGTGGACAATTCGAAACAGATACGGTTATCGATATGCAAAGAGCTGCATATTTCCAACCGTATCTCTTTCGAAGGGGAGACGCCTAACCCGGTTACGTGCTCTACAAACATACATGATACGGAAAAGAGGGGTGTTTTATGCCTCACCTCGCTATCCCGCAAACAGGAGAAGCCTCAACCGCTACAAGGTCCACGGAACACCAACAAACAGCTAGAAGCCTCAGTCCTCCCTAAAAGAATAAGTCATTTCACATTAGTAAGTAATTACCTTTATATCACCATAAACAAAGTAAAAAGAAACAAGATAATAGATACATGAGGTCAGTAAGAAAGACACTTCTAAAGCAGTGAATTTGTGATGGAGTAAAATCTATTGCAAAAGGCTATGGGCAGCAATACACGCATCAGAGATTAAAAGGCGTGTATAAACCTACATGCATATTGACGAAGTTACTAAGAAAGCCATTAATTACACTTGATCAGTAAGCAAATTTGCATGTAAAAAAACAAATAACAATCCCTTTAACCCTTCAAAAGTAAAGAAAACAATGTGATGAAGTACATAAGTCCAAACGAAAGTTATCTAGTCTAACATATATATATGCACGGAGTTATAGATATTTTTTATTTGTATTGTATAGAATAAGCTAGCCAGGCATTAATTAGTGAATTTTCATTTTTCATCGAATATAAGCTAGCTAGCTAGGTTCCCAAAAATAGGACCTATAAGCATCTCTACGTTTCAAGGCCTACTCCAAAAATCATGATCTGGACTTTTCAGCCTCCTGTTGTGATGTGAGTTTTTTTAGTTCTCGCCTAGGCCTATACATAGGGAGTCTAAATTTCTACTAAACTACTTGATATAGAAGAATGTAAAAGAGGACTGGTACGCCAGAAGAAAGGCATCAATGTATCTAAATCAAGCTATAGCCCTACTAGAGAACGATGAATCATCAGGTTGCAGTTGCAGACATCTAAAGCTATATCAGTATAGCATGCATAGCATGGAGCCATGGACTGAGTTTGGACTCTCGAAAGAAATTACATACATCGCACAAGGAGGAGGCAACTTAACACTTATCCAACATTTATATATATTATTTTGTGTCTGGTTCCTGAATCCTATTTTGTGTCTGGTTCCTGAATCCTGAACATTTGCATACTGCATATATATCACCCTTGTGCACATATACGTACCTAGATGGGGTTGTGGCGAGCTGGTGCCTGTCGGCATCGGGCAGGTGGCCGGCCGGTGTCGGGCAGCAGGCGGGCGGCGTTGACCAGGCAGCCCACGGCGGGTGGGCACCGGCGGCGGGCGGCAGGCGAAGCGCAGGGCTGCCGGCGTCGAGCAAGGGGCTCCCTGCGGGCGGGCACCGAGGTGGCGCAGGGTCTCGCTGGGGGCAGGCGGGCGGGGTCGTGCTCGCGCTCGGTTTCGCGGCGGGGACAGGGGCGTGGGCCAGCCGGTGGCTGTGGCAGACCGGCCGGGCGGGGTGGAGGTCGACGGCGGAGGCGGGCGGGGTGGGGAGGGAGGGGGCGGCGGAGGGGTTGCGGTGGAGGGTGTGCGGTCGGCGGCGCGTGGGGAGGGACCTCGACGGCGGCGGGCGTGGGGAGCACGATGGAGTGGGGAGGGAGGAGGGCGCGTGGGGGGGGGGAGCTCGACGGCGGCGTGAGGGGAGGGAGATCAACGGCGGCGCGTGCGCACGGAGGAGGGCGCGCGTGTGCGTGGGGATAGAATGGAGAAATGGCCAGAGCCGGCCAGCGGCCTAGCTATTTTGTGGCCTGTTTGCCGAGTGTCAGCCCGATCCGACACTCGGCAATGTTTTTTTAAGAAAAAATCCCATCAGTTTGCCGAGTGTCGGCCGATGGCGCACTCGGTAAACTACTTAAAAAAACCTAAACGCCTAATTGCCGAGTGCCGTGACGATTGGGTACTCGGCAAACATTTAAAAAAAAGTGCCCTCCTGTTTTCCCTATTTAAAAAAATCCCTGTTCTCCCTTAACAAGAAATTTTAAAAAAAGTTTATTACATTGTTGCCGAGTGCCACCTATGCAGCACTCGGCAAACTTATTTCTATATTTCATGCTGCCCTTTTCTTTCCTCTACTTAATTACTTTCCTCTATTTCATGTTTCACTAATTTCATGAAATGAACTTGCATTACACTTTGTTAGGTGCACTCACAAATGTATATTTCAAGCTTGTACAAAAATTGGACTATTATTTCATGTGTTTGTATATCATGCATCTAAAATTCAATAATTGCGACGAAAGAATTAAAATTATGAAATGGCTCCGAAAAATTGCCAAAAATTCACAAGAAATTGTTCTGTATTGTATATACAAAAATTTTTGAAGTGAAACTCCAAATCGACATTCAAATTGTCTCCTCATCTTACCGGATCTTTCTCAAATCACAAAAACTTCTCGGGAGATGATCCGATTTATAAGAAAGCAGCAGACGTGTCAACTTTGCCAAAACACTCTCAATTTTTACCATAGCCTCCACGTATGATATCATGACAACTCGATTTAATTTCGTGATTTTCAGACTTCGTTTGTTTTTTATAGAATTTTCAGACGTTTCCGCGCAGCGCTTTTCGCTCATGTTTCATGAACATAATGTTCGAAATTTCTGGTCCGGCCTACGGATACGGTCTCAAAACAGACTCAGTGAATAGAATATCATTTTTTATTCACTTTTTTCGGATATTCGAAACACTTGCAGTTTAAATCCAAAAAATTACAGAAAATTCATTTGACTAAAATAAATTGACAAAATATAGTAAAATAACTCAGAAATGTACAAAACTTCAACACAGAGCAAACTCGAGAGGATGCCCCTAAAATTAATGATTTTGTAGAGTGACTGAGATGAGTAAACTCCAGAGGAGTTATAAAGCCAAACCATCTCATCCTCTTCATCAGTCAGATTAATGGTTGAAACTAAAGCTACTACCTCCAACCAAACCTGATAAAGATCTTCACTAACATTTCTTCTGAAAGTGCATTTCAAGTCTTGCACATCCCACAGTTCAGCAATGGACTTGTTTTTTTCATTGAAAATACGATACAGAGGCCAAAACTGGATGGCCAGACTAGAGGAACCTAACCAATTGTCTTCCCAATGTCTAAGTTTCCTACCATTACCTACCTTCCATCTATAACCCATTTTCGCAGCTTGTGCAGCCCACATAAAACCCTTAAAGAAGTTGAAGTTGGAAGCCCCACTTGACCTAGACTGGAAAATATTTGGTTTCTGAGTATTATATTTAAAATCTATAAGCTCTTTCCAAAGCTTCTCCTTATCTGAATTATATCTCTTAAGCCAAGAGCCTAACAAGCATCTCTACAGTACCAACAATAATGAGCTGCTGCCATGGCCGGTCCGGCACGAGATCGTGCTGGGACTCGGGTCGGCGCTTCTGTACCTGCACAAGGAGTGGGAGCAATGCTGGTGCACAGGGACATCAAGCCCAGAAACATGATGCTGGACGCGTCCTTCCATGCCAAGCTCGGTGACTTCGGGCTCGCCAGGCTGGTCGACCACGGCTGGGGCTCGCACACCACCGTGCTCGCCGGAACCATGGGGTACATGGACCCAGAGTGCATGATCAACGGCAGGGCCAACGCTGAGTCGGACGTCTACAGCTTCGGCGTCGTCCTCCTGGAGATCGCCTGCGGCCAACGGCCCCTGGTGCGTCGCCACGAGGAAGAAGATGTGATCCACATCGTGCAGTGGGTGTGGGAATGGCACGGGCAGAGAGGAGCCATCGTTGACGCCGCCGACGCAAGGCTGAAGGGCGAATTCGACGCTCGTGAGATGGAGACCGTGGTGGTCGTCGGACTCTGGTGCGCACACCCTGACCGGAGCCTCCGACCGTCCATCAGGCAGGCCGTCAGCGTGCTGCGGTCTGAGGTGCCACTGCCCAATCTGCCGGCGAGGATGCCGGTGGCAACCTATGAGCCTCCACCTAATGGCTTCTACTATACATCTTCCGTTGTGACGGGAGGTAGCAGCAGCACAGACTCCGGCACCACTCAGTCCAGCATGACAATCGCAACTGTCCTGCCCAAATGACCTCAGATCATACGCGACTGCAAAGACAACAAATTCACAATGCCTAGAGATCTCTGGTACGCTGCTTTTGAGAGTTATAAGTACCTTCATCATGTTCCTTTAACTAGCAAGGTGACCCACGCAAATGTTCTTTAAAATACTTTGCAATTATTTTTATTTGTTTATTAATTGAATATTTCTCGCTCCATGTGTCCACCACATTCATTGGCATAAACTTTATATAGCATAGCTATCTTTTTTTTTGAAAGATCATCCAGAACATAGCTGGAATATATTAATAAGGAGAAGATGGAATTACATGCGCCACCTTGCACAAACAGTTCACTAGATTTGGCAGACCACCAAGCTAAGCGAGGATACTAGGCCTTATTTAAATCCAGGGGCTAAAATTTAGGGGTGTCACATGACGATGTCACGTGGTAGTATTAGGATAGTAATAATAAAATAAATTACACAAGTCCTCAGTAATCCGCGAGACGAATTTATTAAGCCTAATTAATCTGTCATTAGCACATGTGTACTGTAGCACTACATTATCAAATCATGGAATAATTAGGCTTAAAACATTCATCTCGCAAATTAGTCGCAATCTGTGCAACTAGTTATTTTTTAGTCTATATTTAATAATCCATACATGTGTCCAAACATCCGATGTGATAGGGACTAAAGTTTAGAAGAGGAAAACAAACAAAGCCTAAAAGAACTACTCACAATCTAGGAGTACAACAATGAGCCACACCTGTTGAAACTATTCTTATCACAAAGCCATAGATCTAGTCGGGTACATCATGTAAATGTATAACATGTCCTAATACATGCACTAGACAGATATTAGAGAGAGAGAGAGGTAGTGCTAGGTTACCGACCATCGTAGGCTTTCGATTCGCTCGCGTCCGCCATGGAATTGGTGTCTGTGCTAGGGCAGCGACGGTCGGTGAAGACGGCGTCGGTGATGCGCGGTGGCGACCGACGGTGAAGGCAGTGGAGTCCGGTGACGTAGTCCGGAGGCGGCGCAGTGCTGTGGTGGAGGTGCTTCCTATCACTGGCTGCGCCCCTCACTAGATCGGGTTTAGGGTTTGTCGGTAGGGAGCTCGGCTCAGGCGATCCTCATGACTTGAGCCATCGGCCCCCACCTCTATTTATTGCGCAGTGTGATAGGTGCCCTCCAGCCATAGTGGGCTGGGCGTCCCCGATCAGGGCACAGATCAAAGGCCAAACCGGCCCAGTTTGGGATTAGAGATCAACCTAACAATCTCCCCCTTGATCACCACCATCTTTCAATTTCATATCATAAACTTTTATTCATTCCATTACAGATTAGCGCATAGAGCATGTTTCATCGTCACGGTCAATTGTCGATAGATTTAATAGCTACAACACATCACTCTGTTCTAAAATAGATACTTAACTTTTGGGTCTTCTTTTGTCCAGGAATTATAGGCTTTCCCTTAAACCCATGCCGGCTACATGTTCTCTGAACACGTTGGGTGGTAAGCCTTTTGTAAGCGGATCCGCGAGCATCTTTTCGGTACTTATATGCTCAAGACTTATGACATGATCCCAGACTTTATCTTTCACAACATAATACTTTATGTCAATGTGTTTGGCAGCATCACTTGACTTATTGTTGTGAGTATACTGTACTGCTGGATTGTTATCACAGTATAACTTAAGTGGTCTATAGATGTCATCAACCACCTTCAAACCGGGTATGAACTTCTTTAGCCAGTTCACCTGCTCCGTTGCCTCATAACACGCTATAAACTCGGCATACATTGTGGACGATGTGGTGACGGTTTGCTTTGAGCTTTTCCATGAAATAGCTGCCCCTGTGAGAGTGAATACATATCCAGACGTGGATTTTCTATCATCTCCCGCATAATCAGAATCTGAATATCCCACTATATGGAGTGAATCAGATCTTCTATACGTCATCATGAGGCCTTTCGTTCCTTGCAAATAACGCAAGACTTTTTTTACTAATTTCCAGTGTTCTGTTCCAGGATTGCTCTGGAATCTGCCAAGTAACCCGGTAACAAATGCCAAGTCAGGGCGCGTACATACTTGAGCATATTGCAAGCTTCCGACAGCTAAAGCATATAGAATCGCTTTCATTTGATCAATCTCATATTGGTTCTTAGGGCATTGAAAATCCCCATATATGTCACCCTTGACTATAGGAGCAGGTGAGGGACTACATTTGTGCATACTGAATTTCTTTATGATCCTTTCTATGTATGCCTTTTGTGACAGTCCTAATACCCCTTTACTTCTATCTCGGTGAATCTCGATCCCTAGAACGAACGAAGCTTCATCAAGATCTTTCATATCAAATTTTAAGGACAGAAACTTCTTTGTCTCCAGCAGTTAGACTGACATTACTACTAGCAAGTAAGATATCATCCACATACAGGACAAGGAAGATAAACTTCCCATTCTTAAACTTTGCATAGACACAATTGTCCTCAACATTCTCTTTAAACCTAAAATTCCTTATTGTCTGATCAAACTTCAAGTACCACTATCTTAAAGCTTGTTTTAACCCATAAATGGATTTCTTTAGGCGACATCCCATTCGTTCTTTTCCTTCCATGATAAAGCCTTTCGGTTGTGCCATGTAAACATTTTCCTCCAAGCCCCGTTGAGAAATGTCGTCTTTACATCCATATGATGTAATTCTAAATCGTAATGTGCCACTAATGCCATTATGATTCTGAAGGAATCCTTACATGAGACTGGAGAAAATGTCTCATTGTAATCAATGCCTTCTCTTTGCGTAAAGCCTTTTGTCACAAGTCACGCTTTATATCTCTCTATATTCCCTTGAGAGTCAAGTTTTGTTTTGTAGACCCATTTACAGCCTACTGTTTTGGCTCCTTTAGGAATTATTTCCAAGTTTCAAACTTTATTGGCATTCATAGATTTCATTTCATCTTCCATGGCCTCAAGCCACTTTGATGAATGATCACTTTTCATAGCTTCTTCAAATGAGGTGGGATCATCCTCCATTTGAAATTCCTGTGTTGTATACTTCATAGTCAGCAGGAATAGCTGATTTTCTAACTCTTTGAGACCTTCTAGGGGCTCCACATTTGGCACATCTTCTGTTTGAGGCTGTTGTTGCTCCCCTCATGTGTGGTAATAGGTTCTATAGGATCTGAAGAACAGGTTCCTCATCATCATTCATTGTTGCCACACAAAGCGGAATAACAATAGGTCTTTGGCACCACAATCTTCTTTGCATCTGCTGGGCAAATGAGAGTAGGTAGTTAGAAAAATGGCTCATGAATCATCGGAGTGGGGCGCATACACCCGCTTCTATTCAAGGTCAATTTCTCGAGCTACCGTGCTCCCCCGATCATTTCATCCTCTAGGAAGACAGCATGTCTCGTTTCCACAAACTTTGTATGTATGTGCTGGGCGATGAGAAACGAAAACCTTTTGACTTTTACGGGTAGCCAATGAAATGGCAACTTCTTTGTTTTGGAATCTAGCTTCCCAATGTTTGGGTTAAATACTTTAGCCTCAACAGGACTCCCTCACACACGTAAGTGGTTTAGTGAGGGTACTCTTCCTGTCCACAACTCATACGGTGTTTTGGGCACCGACTTACTTGGTACTCTATTGAGAATATGAATGGTGGCTTTTAACGCCTCCATCCACAGGCTCAACGGTAAGGTGGAGTAACTTATCATACTGCGCACCGTATCCATCAGGGTACGATTACGTCTTTTAGCTACTCCATTCTGCTGAGGTTCGTCCGATGTAGAATACTGGGCTACTATGCCATTCTCCTATAAGAATCTTGCAAAAGGTCTAGGAACTTGGCCATATGGGGTATGTCGACCGTAGTACTCCCCCCCACGGTCGGACCTGACTATCTTAATCTTTAAATTGTGTTGGTTTTCAACTTCTGCCTTAAATATCTTAAATTTATCCAATGCTTCTGTTCTTTCTTTGATTGGATAAATGTAGCCATAACGGGAGTAATCATCTGTGAATGTTATGAACAAATCATAACCATCCATACTCTTTACAGGAAACGGACCACAGATGTCTGTGTGAATAATCTATAAAATTTCTACGCTTCGTTTGGCATCTTTCTTAATTTTCTTTATATACTTTCCTTTTATGCATTCTCTGCATTGTTCTAAATCTGAGAACTCTAATGGAGGAAGAATATCATTCTTAACTAGTCTTTCTATTCTCTCCCTCGAAATATGGCCTCAACGACAGTGCCGTAATTTTGACAACGCATCATAAGTTCTCTTTCATTTTCTATTTACATCCGCAGACAAGGATACATTCTTATTGTCGCACGCAACATTCCCATCATCGCATACAACATTCACTTCATCACGTAGCGATAACAAATAAAGCTCATATAAGATAGCAATACCAACACATGCATTATTAAATGTTATCTTACATTTGCCATTTCCAAAATGGCAATCATATCCATCATTGTCCAAGCATGAAACACTAATCAAGTTTCTCTGTAAAGAGGGAACATAAAGAACATCTCTAAGTAAAAGTGTGAAGCCATCAGCAAGCTCTAGAGAAAGATCGCCAACGGCTTCGACATCTGCTCGGACTCCATTTGCAGCTTTAACATGTCTTTCTCTTCTTTGTGTAGTCCTCGTCGAACGGAATCCCTATAAAGAATTAGCAACATGAACAGTTGCACCTGAGTCAATCCACCAAGTAGATTTCGAATACTGTACATACAGGGATTCATTTATGAACGTAATAATGTTCTCACCTTTCTTTGCCATGATCATCTTTAAGTAATCGGGATAATCTTTCTTATAATGTCCCGTCTTCTTGCAATAGAGACACTGGTCTTTCTCTACTGTGAACTTGTTCTGCTGAGAATGATGCAGCATGGGACCCTTTCCCTTTGGCTTTGAGGAGGAGTTAGCATTATTATTCTTTTTCTTGTTGTCTTTCACATAATTGATAGTGCCACCATTGATGGCTTTCATTTTCTCCTCTTGCAC